AAAGTGGAAAAATGCCATGAAAGAGGAGTATGATGCGCTTCAACGCAATGGCACTTGGAGCCTGGTTTCACCGCCTCAAGGGAAGAACCTCATTGACTGTAAGTGGGTGTACAAAATCAAGAGAAGAGCCGATGGACAAATAGATCGTTACAAGGCACGCTTAGTGGCTAAAGGTTTCAAACAGAGGTATGGAATTGACTATGAGGATACATTTAGATCAGTAGTCAAAATTGCAACTGTCAGATTAGTATTGTCATTAGCAGTGGCAAGAGGATGGTGTCTTAGGCAGCTAGATGTTCAGAACGCGTTCCTTCATGGTGTTCTGGAAGAGGGGGTTTATATGAGACAACCACCTGGGTTTGAAAGTGAATTTCCATCATTCGTTTGCAAACTCAAGAAAGCCATTTATGGTCTTAAACAAGCTCCAAGAGCTTGGTACTCTCGGCTAAGTACAAAACTTGTTGACCTTGGCTTTGTTCCTGCGAAGTCAGATGCATCTCTCTTCATTTACAGGAAAGGTAGTGTGGAGATATATATGCTGATATATGTTGATGACATTATTGTTACTAGTTCCTCTCAAGATGCAGTGAATGTGTTGCTGAAAGCTCTGAGAGAAGACTTTGCACTGAAGGATCTCGGTGACTTGCATTACTTTCTGGGCATTGAAGTAGAAAAGAAACCAAGTGGTGATCTGCTCTTGACTCAGAGAAAGTATGCTAAGGATATTTTGACTAGGATGGGCATGTTGAAGTGCAAGCCTGTTTCTACTCCCATGTCGTCAACAGAGAAAGTGTCACAGTATGATGGTGATCCACTCGGGCCTGAGGATTGTACCAGGTACAAAAGCATAGTTGGAGCACTGCAATATGTCACTCTTACTCGCCCGGATTTGGCATTTGTTGTTAACAAAGTCTGTCAATATTTACACTCACCAACTACAGCACATTGGATGGCAGTTAAAAGAATTGTTAGATATCTAAAGTTCTCAGAGAATGTTGGCTTGCTGATTCGCAAGCGGTCTCCAATGGTGGTGAGCGCATTTTCAGATGCAGATTGGGCGGGCTGTAGAGATGACCGGAGATCCACAGGAGGCTTTGCTGTGTTTCTTGGATCAAATGTTATCTCATGGAGTGCTAGGAAGCAACCCACGGTGTCAAGGTCCAGCACAGAAGCCGAATACAAATCTATGGCCAACGCTACAGCCGAGATGATATGGGTGGAGCAGTTGCTTGGTGAGCTTGGAGTAAAATTGAAGTCTAGACCTCGCCTCTGGTGTGATAATTTAGGGGCTACGTATTTGTCTGCGAATCCGGTGTTTCATGCCAGAGCTAAACATATAGAAATTGACTTTCATTTTGTCCGAGAGAGGATTGCAAGAAGACAACTAGAGGTGAGGTTTATACCAACAGAAGATCAAGTTGCAGACGGCTTTACCAACGCTCTGCCGCAAAGGAAATTTGAAGAATTCAAGAACAATCTAAATCTTGTAGAGAAGACAAGTATAGATTGAGCGGGGGTGTTAAGATATGTAACAATTTTGTAAACGTGACACGCAAGTATAACACGTCAATGAACGTGGTTGTGTGCACGTCAATCTTGTGTTCGGTTGAGATAGGATTAGTTTGTTAGATCCATATCTAGTTCAACCGAATTCCTTGTAATGCAAGTTTGTACATCTATATATATATGCTAACATGTATCCGTGATGAGCCAAGATAGGCAATCACGTTTGCTATATTGCTTTTCACCAATTCTAAATTCCCTTAATGAAGCACGTGCTAACCACGCTTTCGAAAAAAACAAAGTCAATTCTAGGGAGGCCGAATGGTTTACTTTGCATGTTCATTATTATTTTGTGTTTGGACTGTACCTTTTCAAAATCACTATATATATATATATATATATATATATATATATATATATATATATATATATATATTTGGAGAAGATACATGGTCAACTTTTACACTTGAAAATTCTTCGAATAATAATGGTACAGACATATATAAACACGCGCTTACTTACCATATGAATAACTAGACCTGTGAACGTCTAAAACTAGGCCAACAACAGATTTTGATATTAACGAACCCTTACAGAAACAGTTTTTGAGACATATTCTTTTATTTACAGAAGCTGTCTAACTTTTCCGTATCTAAAAATACATACTGAAAATTATTATTAAGAGATTGGTTGATCCATCTACAGAGACTACGACAGTCCAATGATAGACAATATGTGTAAATTAATTTGCAGAGACAGTCTAATGTAAAAAAAACCCCAGCCTATTTATTAGCCACATATATCACTAAAAGAATTATTTGCATAAAATAAGATTACACATTTCTCAGTATCATGTTTACAAAATCCCAAAATTAACATGTCTAGTTTACAAAATCAGTTTCAGGCTAGCTAAAAATCAAACGATTATTTATCATGTTTTCCTTTCATGCCAGTCAGGCACCGTTTAAATTGTTGGTATTGCGACGTAGCTTTCTCAAATGCACTACCATTATTCTCTGTTTTTTTTTGTACCAAATAAATTTCTACATTCTACAATTATTCAACGTACCAGTAAGGTTACTAAACAACTGTTTTGTTAAATGAAAACACCTAGAAGTTTTCAATAGGGAAGCACGTGCCAATGTGCTAGTAGCCTAGTAGACCTAGTCATGGCCTGCCCGAAGAAAAAAAAAACATCCTGGCGGCGTCGGGTCAGGATCGAGCTACAACTTTCGACCTTTAATCCAACGCATCCTGAAAAACCCGACTCGACAAAATAGGAGAAATAGCCCGACCTGACCCAACCCAACCTAATGTGTCCGTAAGGTGGTCGCATACCAACAATCTCGTCGTGTTCTTTTTTTTCTGGCCCAACTCGACCCGACGTTTGATTAAGTCTACAATGTGCCAATCCTCTATCCTCTATACCTCAATAGGACATCCCCACTAGCTAAATTCTCTGTAATTTCATGAAGCCACATCAGCAATCAACCGAAGCATCATGCATAAACTCAGGAGCTCACGAGTCAGTAACGAAGCGTCCCTTTACGTCCGCATAGAAAACCTAGGCGACACTATAGCCAGGCGCTATTATATATGTCCCTTGCACTTCACCTCCCGCACCATTATCTCAAAACACTCCACATTCACCGCTGCACGATCAAATTGGAAAGAGACAATCTAGTCTTCTATAGTAAAATGAAAAGTCGGCACCTATATATATTAGCCCTAATCCTTCCTGGTTCCGATCCCTGGCTGCATTGCCTGCCGCCTTTCCCTAAAGCAGCCCCTCTCCGACGCCTCCTCCATTGTTGGCACCAAGGAGTTGCATTGCCACACATCGGCCAGCTCCTACGACATCGGGCTGGGTTGCTCAACCATGAGGACAGGAGCCATCACTGGGAGTTGATGATGAAAGGCGTGTGTTGGCACAGGGACTGGAGGAGGATGTGGCCGGGGGCCATTGTGCCAGGGAGCAAGATCACGTACCACCCCCTGACGCACTCGTCGTCTGTTCACCAAATGGACACCGGTTCGTACCCTGACTCCTCCGTCGAGGACTTCAATTGCATCATCGTGGCCTACTCCATGCTCTTTGACCCAAGAAGCGCGTGACTATGACTGTCGCCTCCTTCTCTCCGCCGCCGCAGGATGAGAGTTCTTTGCCTCTACATTGGGACTCTGTTGTTGAGAAAATAAGCATTGCTAGATATAGGGAGGTGCGGGAGTAGCAGAGGTGAATAGATGCATGAGATGAAATGGGTGGGCAGAGGCACCGCCCGTGTGTCCGTGCGCGAGGCTACAAGCTACGACCGATTGTTTAGGTGGCAATTTGGGATATGGGAAATGAGGGTTGGGACGGGAAATGAGGGATGTGATAGATTTGATCCAATGTTTGGATAGTAGGAAATGAAGATACGAATAGGGAAATAAAGACTAGCATATCCATCCCATAGCTCCTCTTTTATCCCAATTCATTTTCCCTTCTCTATCCCAATCCCCATCCATTAGGGTAGTTGTGCTTTTTTTCTATGGGAGATGGATGGATCGGCGGCGTGGATAAGTCCTATGCGGTGATGGTTTCACGAGTGGGCTACCCTGGTAACTAAGACAGTATTATCTCTTATGATAAAAAAACTACTACTATTTCTTCTCGGAAGTATTCATAGGTCTACCGAGCTCCAGTGCCCCGCCTGTCATCATTGCCTCTAGATCAAGTAACAATCATCACATCAGCATCAAGTTTAAGACGGTGCTATTTAGAATCTTAGATTCTCTCTGTGTTCTGCATGTTTCGTAAGTATGTTCAAAAGTTTATTTATTATCAAGTATATAGAAGGGACACGTACCACTGCCAATGGCATGCAAAAAGACACATGGTGGCCTTACGTGGTGAGTTGTTTTCTAAGTTTTTGTCAACTTTTTTTCAGTATAACTGCTATGTGTCTAGAGCCTGAACACAAGGATTTGAGGTGACGGCTAATGGCAGTGGTTTCTCCGCCGCCGTTTTCTTGGCCACGATGCAAGATTAAGGGAGCGGTGATGCTGGGTGAGGACGTATGAATTTAGCCTAGTCCTGTGAATGAATATCTCGATGTCCAGCCCAGTGAAATGCATGACGCAATATAATTCCCGCGGCAATGTGCGGGGTATCATCTAGTGCTTCTAAAAGCCAAAATACTTTGCATTCAAACTACTGCTTCACTGTGACTAATATTATGCACCAAAAAGTTTGTATGATCATAGAAGCTAGAATGATAAGCTCCATTGTTAACTCAACACAACAACATACATTTGCAATCAAATTATTGAAGGATGGAGATGCACGCTTACAACAGGTTTTAATCTTATGTGTGAACAGGCAATGCTCAAATGTGCAAATGAAAATTGTATTCACTCACAAATTTGGACTAAAACAAGTTTACAAGTGGATACAATCCAGCAACTACAGCATGGGTTCCCCTATGATACATTACAACCAATATGCACCCATGAAGCTATGTCATAGGCAGTGTAGCTAAGAAGGCGTCCAATTTTACATTATCGGTACGAGACAAGAACTTGATGCAAAGGGGTGCCCGCACTTGTGTGAGTGCCATTGTCGACGATAGTAGCATCCCCAGCCCGTCCCCACAGACCATCCCTGATGCCACCGCCATTGAGAACGCCGGTGCCTTGCTAGGGTTGGCCCACCTCCATAAGTACAACACCAAGCTCCCCACGAACATGTCAATGGGTATGCGTGCCGGCACTACAATGGCGATGGCCACGCAGATGGTGCTCGGAATGTACTGTGCCACACGCCACTGTTTCCATGTGGCCACCTCTCGGAACATGCTAAGCACCAGCGCTAGTGCGAAGAAGAGCTTGCAGAGCCACAAGCTGTGCATAGGTAGCGCGTTCTGGCCAGCGCTCAGCATGGCGATGCTGCGGTACACTCGGGCATAGGGTGCGTCAAAGATGTCAGCGTCGCCGTTTTGCACCTTGTAGAAGATCCAGAACATGACCGGGTTGATGATGCACCCGAATGCTGTGCCGATTGCCTGGCTGATGAACACGACGTGTGGTGAGGTTAGCGTTAAGTACCCTGTCTTTAGGTCTTGCATTAGGTTGTTGCTATTAGACATTGCCCCCATCACGATCCCACAGGAGACGAGGCCAGCAATCACACCACCATCGTTACGACCAACACTTGAACCGATGAGGACCATAGCAAGCTTGCCATAAGTGCTCGACAAGTTCATGTCGGTCACACCAAATGCATAGGCGTCACAAAAGGCAATGACCGGTGCAACAAGGTAGATGAGAGCAACATGGATGTGCTTCATCTGCGGGTAGAGGTACGGTATGGCAATGGTGGAGACCACCGATAGGAGGATGTAACAGATAATGTTGACCGAGTTGGATATATGGTCCCGTAAAAACACCTGTGCCCTACGACGATCACCGAAGCTCTTTTTTGTCTTTTGTAGCTCAGCAGCATTGAGGCAGTGGAATGGCAACTGCGTGTCACTATCAACTTCATTATCACCTTGCATTGGTTGCTTGCGCCGCTGGCACATGGAGTACAATGTGCATAACACAATTGATAGGAAGTTGAAGAGGCCATCAGCGAGTATCATGGACACTCCGATGAACACCTTATAGCCCCTGATGCCGTTAAGGCTGCTGGAGCTAATGTTAGAAGGGTACCAGATACCCGCCTTCGTTGCAAGGTACGGTGAAATGATCCCCCATGAGATAACACACCCAATGAACATGGAGACAGTGATGATGTATGGGCACAACATACCGATGCCAATATTAGACATGGAAAAGTCGAAATAGAATCTGGTCAAGGAAATGGAATGCAAAGTTGTTAGTCCATACATAGACAAGGTTTGACAAGTAATTAGTTTATTTTATAGCTGTGTTAGTTGTTGTGTACCCATGTTTATACGCCTCAAGGCCAAATATAGGGAATACTTTGAAGCCACAGTCCTTTGCAGCAGTGAAAAACCACTGGAAGATGTTCCACAATACGCTTCCCCCAAATGAACTAAACAACATCTTCACTTGTTGCCTGTAAGTAAACAATCATGGTGACATAACAAAATAAGCATGCATACTTGTTTGATAAACCGAAGGCATTCATTTATTCATTGAGTTCCTTTAACCGATGATACGTGCCTTGCCTTATTGACGCCTTGAGGGGTATGGAAGCTATTTATAAGGTGTGCCGTGGCCATTCCACTAGGGAATGTCAACCGGTGCCGAATGATCATGGCCTTCCTGAAGGGCATGAGGATGAACAAGCCAGAAAAACTAACAAGGAAGAGAAAAGCAATCAATCGGCCAATGCTCGGCTCAATAATATTCTTCTCATCCCTCGTGTCTCCTCCTGCTGCATTCTTGCCCATCGCGAGGATGTATGTACCAAACCCTCCTAAATATGAATGTGACACATTTAACAACCCATATAATTGAATAACAACATGGCAGAGTATAGTAAATAAAGTTTTGCATGCGGTGCTTATATAGATATATACCAATTGAATGTAATGGCAGAAAGCAAAGGCGACAACACATGTCTGAATGACGGTATTCTCTTGGCGAGTGAATGGTTGGTATGGCAATTCAAAACAATCAAGAGCGCGGAACCATGCCCGGATGAGGTAGAAACCGATGAGGCCAGCTGGGACGGTGAGTGACGGGACGAAGCCTGAGCTTAGGCTGATCTTCATGGCGACGGCGCAGAGGGCAACACCAAGGATAAAGCTAACCACTATTGATCGTGGTGTTATGGTCTCTGACAATGATGGGATTGGATCTGCCTCAAATGCACGCTCTGTCGAGACGCCTTCCTGCACACAATCAACTTGCTCCATTGTAGGGGATTACTAAGTTTCTTTTGGTGGAGGAACAAATGAGATTTAGTTATTTGTTTGATTCTGTGTGCATGTCTTGGCCTATTAATTAATAAACCAAGACATACACACAGAATCGAATGCTGGATGCAATGGGAGAGAAGGGGGGAGAGGTGGCCTTTTATAAGGAGTCAAGTAGTTAATTAAGGAACACCGGTCCTTCTAACTATAGCATGCGTGTTTGCATGCCTTTGTTGTCTTGGAGCTTACTTTAGCTTTGCCTGTGTTTTCGTGGCTGTGCTTTCCTTCTCTGGGGGGTGTAATATATGACACACATTAGCGCACGTACATTGTTAGCGTTGCATGATGAAACAAAAGTGCAACAAATTAAACTACCGATGCACCCAAAGGAAATGACGTACAGAACCGGACGTGTTGCTACATTGCTACTAAAAATAGGAGGGATATAGAGTATAGCATTAACTAACTATTATAATTTTGCTATAAAAATTCGTAAACGTATAACTAATATAAGGCACTCACATGTGTGCTCCTTTTCTGTTGCAGGAGGCAAAGCTTTTTGTCATGTTTAGATTAGTAGAAGGATACCCTGATCTAAATTAAATCCAAAATTTTTTGTAGCTTTTATGAAAAAAATAGTAGAAGGCAGCCTGTGCTAGGGCACTTTTCAATGGTTCTACACAGGTGGACCTAATTGTATACTTGCTGTCATCCTGACATTTATACTTGCTGTCATCCTGTCATCCCCGTAGGAGGCTAGTAGCTAGAACTCTAGGAGTCGATGCCGATCGATGTGCATGGTGATTGCGTCCATTGCGATAATTAGTGTGGCGTTCGGACTCTTCAGGCGCCGTTGTGTTGGATTCGACCAAACCGAGCTTGGAAATTGCTCTGCAGCTAATTAACTAAAACTTTTTGTGCCATTTGTGGTACATACTTGACTTTCATCTTCTAAACCATAGAGGAAATAAATAGTGTTCTAAGGTCATGTTTGGATTCTATCATCTAAACTTCAGAGCTCAAATATTTAAGAGCACTTTAACTCAGTTTTAAGGTCTAAAGTTCTAATTTGAGGTTGGTTAAAGTTTAGAGCTAACTTTATATCACATGTTTGGAGATTTAGCTCTAAAGTTTAGATGAGTGGATCCAGACAGGCCTCGATAGCTGGCTATGAACTTTAGCGGCTAGTTTTTTCAAAGGCTAAAAAGGCAATAGGGGTAAATAGCCGGCTAAGTCCATTTAGCAGCTTAACAAAAGACATATATCAAACACTAGAGAATTTTACACATATAAACATAAGAGATGAACAGGGAAATTTTGAACTAGCTCCTCTTTCTAGAGCAGGAGTAGTTTTTAAAATTTGCACAAGGCCCACAATATCAGGATTTTCTAGAGCAAGAGTAGTTTATTTTGCCGTGCGTGAAGTCCACAGCGCCATGTGAAATTCGCGCACTGCCCAAAAAAGCAACCAACGAAGGATCAAACTTGGGACCTATCACCTCTACTAACCAGTCTGATAGGGAGTATTTGTTGCATGGGAGAAAAACAAAAATCCTATTTAATAAGGACAAACAGGAGAAAATACACCCTAACTAATCACTCTTTAGAATCCTTAATGATGTCCAAAACGACTTAAATTTTAAGTATGGAGGGAGTACATGCTGGGTTACATTTGTCGCATAAAACTGTCGAATATGAAAGGAAATGTACTCCCGTCATTCCATTATAAGACTATTTTGTTTTGCTTTTCTAGACATATTGTTTTCACTATATATCTAGACCCTAGATGCTTTCCTTCTTTTACGAGATCAGGTAACTTAAGGATTTCTCTTGCAGAAAGATATCTTATAGGATTTCTCAACTACTTAATCAATTTGAGAATTTTTACAATGGTTGTCATAAAATGGACGGCTCACGAGGACCGATCCGACGGCTAAAAAGGCAAAGGAACCGAGAGGAACCAATTTAAGAGGTACCGAGAGGAACCAGGTGCATACTAAATGGTGGGACCATACGCACCGGGTGCATACTAAAATTGATCGAATCAGCACATGAAAAAGTGGGAAATTTTCTATTTTTGAAATTATTTTACGTAATTGAGGGTAGAATAGTAAATCAAGGATAGAAAAATAATGTTGAGAGTACGATTGAAGTACTACAGTGTTTTCACGTATTATTCTCTTCGGACCAACGCAGGCCGGCCCCTCTCTCTCAGTCGCTCTGTTTCTTTCTCGGGCCTTCTTTCTCTCTGGTTTGCGTGGCGAAAAGCGAGGGCGGGTGAGGACGAGGGCGGTGGGCTGCGCATGGCGAAGTGCGAGGGCAGGGCTGCGGCTTCTGTGGCATGCCATCCCTCCTCACCGATCTCTCGGCGAACGGCGGCACTGCGCGAGATCCGGCGATGGCGGTGGAGGAGGCGAGATCCGGCCCGGAGGCGCCCGCGCGCCCCTTCACGGCGGCGGTGGTGGCCGTCCCGGCCGGGCGGGAGGGTCCGGCGGCGAGAGGTGCGCCATGGACGCGGGCGGTCCGGGCAGCAGCCATGGCGGGATCGACACCGTGGAGGAGGACGAGGAGGGTTGCTTGGGCTCCTACACGGCACCGCCAGAGATCCGGCGATGGCGGTGGAGGAGGCGAGATCCGGGGCCGGGCGGCTTAGGGTTTCGCCTCGCTTCCCCACTCGGGTAACCTCAAGCGCCGTCTTCAATCCCAATTGCACCGAAGCTACAAGTCTCTCAGCTTAATTTTGTGTCTAATTCGATTTGGTTTCTTCGAATGCATTCGTTTCATCTCAGCTTCATTTTGCGTCTGCTAGATCTTGTCGGCGCACAAGGCAGGCCGAGCACTTCAGCCGAGCCGGGAAGCGGTCGGCCTCGGCGATGCAGCTCCTGGGTGGCTTCCTCTTCCCACGCCGACCAACATTGAGGGCGGCCAGCGATCCGGCGTGGTCGTGCCCGGTCCGCGCCCCCACCCTTCCTCTCCTCCTCCACTTGTTTGATTATTTTGATTTGGTTTGTCACGTTGTAGCAAAATGCAATGGCATTCTTCTCGTGAGTTTATCTCGCATTATGTTTGCTCGGGTTGATTACTTTTTTGGGTAAAGTTGAAAGGACTTGACTATATGTTTTGTTTGTCCCTCTTATGTTTCTTTGCACATTTAGAAGCGTGCCCTTGCACAAAACCATCGATATTTAGAAGCGTGCCCCTACAAGTACCCTTCTTTCACCCCTTCCCGTGAAGCCATGTAGCAAGGTTTTGCTTGGTTATCCGGGAAGTTCTCGATGAGAGTTTTGGATTCGAGTGCACGGTAGTGGCAACGATTACCTCTACACAGGGATGTTCGATATGTATCTCTTTGGTTGGTCTTCTATTGCATCTTTGCTACCGATAATTGCCACAGCTTTTGTTACACTACACATAAGTTGTTGTCATGTCATTGTGCATTCAATATTATGATATTTGCATTTCTAGTGGCAATGTGCTCCTTTCTAGAAATATAATGAGTTAGGCTACCTTGCCTGAGCCTCTAGAATTCTGAGGAATTGATGCGACATCATTGAAAAATTTATCTTTGCATAGTTTATTATTTAGAAAATGAATCGACTTAGTAAGGACTATGGGAGAAGGAATCCCAACTTTGCTTGAACGATTTGATTGATAATGACACTATTGGAGAATCATTTGTTATGCAACATACATGCAGCTTGATACACTCTTTGCATATTTGTGTGATTCTTTTAAGCAGGCGTCTCTTCGGTAGAGATGTTTGACTAAGTATTTGTGTCTCGAACACACATGAATTTAGTTCAAGACATCGTTTAGGGTCTGAACACATATCGTTCTAGCCATCCGGACAAACTAAAGATCAAATATAGCTTATTTAAATAGACAAAGCACATTAGTTCTAAAAAAGACCTAAAAAGGTCGGGTCTCATTGCTTCTCGGATTCTTGGCCCTTTGAACTGCGTTTAGCGATAGATTCATCGCTAAATTCATCTGCATGACGATGGGAGGAGTATTGACAACTAATTTTTTGGCGGTCGTCCTCTTTTTCTATTTTGAGCTCCTGTTCCTTTTTCGAGATCCTTTCCTTTCGTTCCTTTCCCTCCTTTTGTTCCTTTCCTTCTTTCGTCTTGGCCTCGAGATTTGGAGTTTTAGTCTCTATTATTTGAACATCGCTTGAATTTTCATTTTGTTCATCTTTGGCATTGTTCATCCAGATTGTTTGCATAGTACTCTTCCTCCTAAGAATCATCAAGAAAAATGTTAGACCCAGCATATTTTTAACAGTCTGGTATAAGTTGATGCATTTGGATCATTTTTAATATGAATTAAAAGTTCAGACCGTGATAGGATTTTGGTACGATTGTTGTCGTCTCATGTTGCGATCAGAAAGGAGCAACCTCGTGCAGATTCTCCGTTTGAATCCTTGCATTTGTGTCTATACAAGTGAAAATAGTGCACTATCATAGAACAATTATTGAATGAGTCTGTAGATATTTGGAATTAACAAGGATTGTAACACTCACGTTTGTGAAATGAAAGGCCACGCATATAAAATATTATGAACGCCCCGCATGAATGATTGCAATGAACATAAGAATTAGTAATTTAAGTAGAACATTAATGTAGAAAAGGGAAAAGGAGTACCCATCTGTTTGTTGCGGTATGTTATGATAAGGAATTCGTTTCCAGACGCGCAAGTTAACCAAGCCATCGTTGTCCGAAGAATCAATGCATTCTTGTATGCTTTCCACCTAGTGGATGGTGAGATAGATGTTAAATTTGATCGAACTGTAATTGTAATTGAATAGGTGGTACGTGTTACGTTGTACTTACCAACGCCTTCTCTTGGTTTTCATCTCGGGTTGAGGCTAAGGAGTTAAGTAGCTGAACCTCTTTCTTTATAAAATTTAGCACTAGTAGAGCCTAGTGGTTTTTGTTTATATGCAGAGGCATGAAAACCTGAAAAAACTTTGAAAATCAATATTACATACCAAATGCAG